TAGAAATGCTGAAGTTGTGCACACTCTACGAGCCGGCAATGCCATTCTCTCACAGGCTAACAAGTCAGGTACAAGGATGTTCACTGGAGCGAAAGCTCAGAAACAACCTACAACTCCATCAATATGAAAATGGATAATTAAATAGCCATAATTATACAGCACTTATAATGGATGAATGGATTCTATAGAGACATAGGATAAATCTTGAAATAAAATACTGAGTGGGAACATATGCAGAATATTAAGATATCTTTTATATAAAATTAAAAACACACAATATAGAGGCTAGCCCGGTGGCGCAAGTGGTTAAGTGCATGCGCTCTGCTGCGGCGGCCCGGGGTTTGCTGGTTCGGATCCCAGGTGCGCACCAATGCACTGCTTGTTAAGCCATGCTGTCGCAGTATCCCATATAAAGTGGAGAAAGATGGGCACAGATGTTAGCTCAGGGCCAATCTTCCTCACCAAAAAGAGGAGGATTGGCATCAGATATTAGCTCAGTGCTGATCTTCCCCACCAAAAAAAAAAAAGAAAAAAAAAAACCCACACACAATATTACATATAAGTGTGTATATATATCCTTAAACAATATATACAGTAAAAGCATGAAAACATGAAGTCAAAGATATATGTTAACTTTGGGATAATGGTTACTTTGAACTGAAGGATTGGAATCTGATTGCAGAGAGGCACAACTGTATCTGTGACATTAAAAAAAAAGCGCTGAGGCTAATGTGATTAAATGGTGATATCTAGTATATCTGGATGGCAGGTCTGAATATTTGTGATAATGTTCTCTGTACTTCTGTGTTGAAAATGTTTATAATTTTTTGAAGTATCACATATAAACTAATGATGATAGATGAGACTACCAGGCAAAAGTGGATAGAGAAAAAAAGAGAAGGCAGTCCAGAACAGAATCTGAGGTGGGGTGACAAACTCTTCGTAAAACACAACTTCTTAAAACTGACACAGAAAGAAACAGAAGATCTGAGTAGCCCTATGTCCAGCATAGAAACAATATTTGTAATTTTAAAACTTCCCACAAAGAAAACTCTAGGCCTGCACACCATCACTGGTGAATGCTACCAAACATTTAAGGAAGAAATAATACCAATAATACACAATGATTTCAGAAAACAGGAAGAATGGAACATTTCCTAGCTTGTTTTATGAGGCCAGCATAACTCTGATATCAAAACTAGACAAAAATATTACAAGAAAAGAAAATTACAGATCAATATCCCTCATGCACATAGGGATATTAGCAAATTGAATACAGCAACATATAAATTAAAAAGAAAATACATCATGACTAAATGAAATTTGTCCCAGGAATGCAAAGTTGGTTGGATATTTTAAAAAATCAATCACCATAATACACCACATGAACAGATCTAAGGACAAAAATCATATATCATCTCTGTAATTGATGGAGAAAAGGCATTTGACAAAAATCAACACTCATTCATGATAAAAATTCTCAGCCAACTAGGAATAAAGGGGAACTTTCTCAGTCTGATAAAGAGTATGCAACGACGGAGTAGAGCAGGAAAAACTTGTGGAGTAACTTGGGAGAAAGAAGCCAAGATGCAGGAGAAAAACCTGGAGAGTGGAGTCTCTTGCCAAGAGAGCAGAGTGTTTCAGGGAGAAGAAAATGGCCTACTGTATTACATGTTGCTGAGGTTGAGAAAGATGAGGACAGAGACACATCAAGGGAGGTCACTAGTGGCCTTGAGGAGAGAAGACTTGGTTCATGGGTCACTCCACTTTTTACCTCCTATAATGCTGTTTGTAGTGTGCCTTAGAATTACCTCACATATCTCCATTCAAGAACAAAGCAAACCAATCAACAAATTAACAAGTTATAGAAAAAGGCAAAGCTTGCTGAATTTTTCTTAGGCCCACTGACTGATTTTGAATCTGAGTGTCCAGTATTTCTATTTAATACAGTAAAAAGCCCAGTATTTAGAATAAAGCTGATGCTCAATGACTACGTATTGAATGAATTAATTGATACACATGTCAGACCCTGTTATTCCCGATTAGACATTCCTTCCCTGCTTACAGTGAGGATCATTGAACTTGACCTGAATCCAGTCCCATTGTATCTCTGGGACTAGTCCTGATGTTGGGAAGGAAGAATTTTAAAACAACAGGAAGCTCAACAGGCTTTCACACTGCTGACAATTACTCTGAGATTTCTGTTTCTCTTTTGCCATATCACTTAAAAATGGCAGAATAAGTTTTCACCAAATTTGGTAGTTATTTGGGATGATGTGAGTTAAATACGGGCTATGAAAGTTAACAAGAAATTAATTTCAGGAAAACCTGGAGGATTTTGGAGGATACTCCAAAAAGACAGCTTATCATCTTAGAGCAACTGAAACTGAGGAACTAAGGGAACCCTAGGCGCCTGCTGATCACACAGACCAAGATGCCCTAAGGCGAATAAGAAATAGTGATTCAGACACCACTCAAGTCATAGGACAGATAATACAAACTGCAGGCAAAGTTTTGCAGTTAAGTTGCTTCTTAGAAGGCAACTCTACGCAGCATGCCATAGGCAGAAGGGCATAGGGATTTATTTATTAAATTGTGGTGAATGACTTCCCAGAGTAAATCAGATCAGTATAAATACTAATTATGGCTACCCCTTATTAAGGGATTATTATGTGCCAGACACACGTCCTATCTTACTTAACCTGCACAACAATCTTGTGAGGGAAGAATTATTATCTCTACTTTAAAGATGAGGAAAGTGGGATTCAAAGATATTAAGTGACTTGTGCAGGATCACTCAGTGAGAAAGTGGTAAAACGGAGCTCAAACCTAAGTTGTCCAATTCCTGGATCCAGCCTGACCACAGGCTTCAGTTACAGCAGGGGACTCCATTTTGTCTTCTGGGTCTGAGCTGCCTACAAGGGTCCCAGTACCTCTGGGCCTGGGGCTCTGCATTGAGCTTTCTCTGTAACATCTTATCCATCCAAGGGAATGAGAATCCCACCTATACCCCCTCAACCAACTATCTGCTAAAAGGCTTCTCTGCACATTATCATAAATGTACAGTTTTGCCATAAAAGCTTAATCTTCAGTGATTTGCCTGCACTCGCTAATTGTCCAAAATAAGTTGGCAAAAGTAAAAAAATAAGATAAATCTATTTGAAGAACCACAGATAAAGAATTATACTTCAGGGGCTGACCCGATGGCATAGTGGTTAAGTTCGCACGCTCTGCTTCGGCGGTCCAGGGTTCACAGGTTTGGATCTGGGGCGCAGACCTATGCACTGCTCATCAAGTCATGCTGTGGTGGCATCCCATATACAAAACAGAGGAAGATGGGCACAGATGTTAGCTCAGGGCTAATCTTCCTCAGCAGAAAAGAGGAAGATTGGCAAAGGATGTTATCTCAGGGCTGATCTTCCTCATCAAAAAAAAAAGTAAAGAGCCAATTCATTCTGCACCGTCTCTTTCTAATAAACATAGCAGAAATGATGGAAAGCAATGTCCGGGAAAAATAACATCTGGCGTAAACCAGGGAGACAAACACCTTTGGCCATCTTAAAGTAGAACACGAATCTCTGAATTTGATGGTATAAAGTTATTAACTCTTCAAGTGACAAAGAGATGTTATAACTTGACTTCCTTTTTAGGAGTACTTCTTGCTGCCAATGTCAGTTCAGCATAAATTTTCAAAGCAATTGTGACAACAAACGCACTTACCTTTCTAAAAGAAAACCTTTATAAAGACTGGGAGGTGGCACATATCATTTGTGCACGCCCTGACAGGTTAATAATAGCAGTAGCCAGTGGGAGTGCCAGTAAATGTTTAACAGTTGGCTCTCTGGAAGAAAAAGTCCTGATTTGTAGGGTTTGCTGATTTCTATGGTGTAAATACTCCTACAATGGTGGATTTCAAGCTACTAAGGTGACTAATAAACATGAAGTTGGGCAGAGATCTGCACAATGGGCTCTCAGGCTCCAGCCCTCTGCTGGCAGTGCTAACATTTACTGGTTTCGTACTATGTGCCAGGTATGTGCTAAGTGCTTTATAGTCATCCTCTTTGAAACCTTGTAACAGGCCAAACGGCCGGTACTATTTTATCCCCATTTTACAGATGAGGGAAAACTAGGTCTTAGAGAGGTTAAGTAAGTAACTAGTCAAAGGTCACATAGCTACTAAATGTTAAGAGCTGGCATTCGAATCCTGGCTCTCTGGTTTGATGGCCCATGCTCTCAGCCCCTCTTCGATCCTGCCACTCTCTGTAGGTGATTAAAGAAGATACTATGATTATTCCTACCTCATCTTACAGATGATGTGTTGCAAAGAGTGAAGGGCAGGCTCTTGGGTAATTGGCAGTGGGGTAAGGGGGACTGACCCACATCAGCCAAGGAAGGGTCTTGCTCCTCTTCTCCCAGGAAATTTTACCTCATCTTTCAAGACCCATGTCAGACACTCCCCCTTCATAGGAGCCTTTCCCGATTCCCCCAGGTTTGTTACTGCCCAATTATTTTTTCTTACAAAAATTTTACTTTTTCCATTATGAAATAAATACATGCTCATTAGAGAATATTGAAAATATCAAATACAAGGAGAAAAATCTCTTGTGGTCCCACCTCCTACTCACAGCCTTTGATCCATATTTGTACTATTGGATTCATCCCCCTATACAATGACTATTTCTTTAGGTTTCACCCCCACTGTGAGCCCCTCCTTGGGCAGACAGCACGTATTACCCACATTTGTAGCTATCTTTCACTCCACCCCCACCCCACCTCCATCCCTAGCACAACACCCAGCACATGGCTGCCCCAATTAATCAAGATGCTTTATTATGTCTTTCAGTTCATAAAGGGAAACACTGAGCTTTTCATGTTTATCTACAAAGCTATCCTAATCTTAAGTAAAATTGGTTTTCTTTATTTGTCTTGAACACGCTACTACATTCTTGTTGTCCCGAGTGGGGCAGAAGAGGGCTGTTCCAGCAGGCATCTCTCCTTACCTGCATCCCTCTCATCTTCTGGAACCGTGCAATGGTGTCGCTGATGGTGTACACACGCACATGGCCCATGTGCAGCTTGCCAGAAGGATACGGGAACATGGAAAGCATGTAAAACTTGGGCTTTGATTTCTAGGAAAGAATGACAAAGAAAGACAATGAGCATTTATTAAGCATTTACTGGGAACCCTGCATTCACATAATATTTTGGCACTTTATTTAAGGTAATAATTTAACATTTTTAAAAGTTTCCTTTTTAAAATACTGTTCTCATACTGCAAGTTGACAAAAATGTCAAAAACCAAAATGCAAAGCCCTGGTTTAAGCTAAAGAATATCCAACATAATGCCGAACAACCTCCAAGTGCCCATATATATTTTTAATCTTCTTTCTCTTTTAAAAGCTTCTCTTTTAAGACAGCTTCTATCTAGGTCTTAAAGAACTGTATGTTTTTCTAAATGCAGCTCTAACACATATCCATATAATTCAAGGAAACAATAGTGAATCACAGAGATGTGGCATCTCTAAAAATGGAGCCCTTCCCTAAATTCCCTGAGGCTGCATTCACACTTGGATTTAGCAGTAAGAGCTGCATCCTAAGGCACTGGTTTGGGTCCTGGGTTTCTCCACTGTATTGTTAGCTTGCCTTTCAATAGAAAAAGTTGATACGTGAAGGTAATGAGAAAATCTTAGCCAATGAAGCGAGAAGTTGTTGTTTCCCAGAGGTGATCTATAGGCAGCCTCGGGCCAGGGTTATATAACTCTCCAGCTTCCAAACACACAGCTTCATCATGAGAAACACAGGGAAACGGTACATGCATTTGAACAGGATGAACACAGGGCAGGAAGTCCTTATTGGAACTTGGACTTTGGGCACCTTAGTTCTCCCACCAGTAAAACAGTGAATGCTGTCACAAGTTTGGGCACACGAGGGGATAAGGCTCCAAAGGAAAGGTAGTAGCCATTTAATTGATTCCTTATTGGAGATCTGTTGTTCAAGGGCAAGGACTATGTTTTAATCATCTTTCTGCCTACCCCCCAGACCCCGGCCGCCCCCAGCAGGAGTTTACTAACTGTTGCATAAATGTTTGTTGGCCTCTGTGCTCTGAAAGCCTAATAACTGGCCTCTGTAGAACACATTACTGATGGGCATTTTCCCCAGCAACCTTCACAAATCCTGTCCTGGTGATGGGAGCATTCCCCATGCCCAGCCTTAAATCCCCCTACGCGGGGCTCCTCTGAGAAAGGAGGAGCAACAGGGAACTGCTTCCGTTTGGTCACTGAGGATTGGGACTGTCCAATGTTATCATTATTTCATTTATTTCTGCCTTTTTCTCTCTTTCTGTCCTTACTCCCTTCCTAGAGTTCTACTAGCATTCTTGAAGGCTTTGCTTCCGCAAAAGGAATGAAAACCAATGGAAAACAGAATATTCATAACCATTCTTTTGTGTATTTGTGGAGGTTGGGGTATATTTTTGCTAAGTATTTGCAAGAGTGATAATGGATACAGCCAACTGTAAAAGAAACCAGAAATCAGATTCTTCCAAATCTCGTTTGACCCCTTGCTTTAAACTCCTTCAGCAAAGATATTAAACAAACCTTTAACAGAGCCACTAATATGTGGCAAATAGACTAGAGTGGGACTTTTCTCTGTCCTGCCCATCCTCTAGAAATTACCAACAAGTGGGAAGTAGAGCTACGTGAAGGAAGGAAAGGGAAAAGAGAATAAATAAAGAATCTGGATAACGCATAAACTCAAAAATCGTCTTGAAATGCTGCAGGGACAACTGCTTGTTGATTTACATAAATGGATTTACATAAATGCACTGATCATGTACTTTAATTGGAAACTGAGGATCCACAATTCCTAGGAAAACCTCAGCAGCGTGAGAGAAGACCTGAGAGTCAGGAGTCGGTGGGGACTCAGGACTTACTGTCTTTAAGCAGGAGAGACAGATAATCCTCTCAGCCTATAGACAAGTCCCTCAAAGGAAGTGTAAGCCCACATTCTGTTACTTGGCAAAGAATTGGAAGCAAGCAAACTGTCCACTCTGTTCAAACCTTACTCCTTGCAATGGATTAGGCCTGTTGCCTTTTCTCTGGGAATTTTAGGGGCATGGGAAAATAGCTGTTACAGAGTTCTTTGGGACGTGAAAAAAACAATAAAATCCTTGATATAAATTATTTCTAATTTTTCATTTTAAAATTTTTACATTAAACCTATTTTTCTTTTATTATAATCACCTTGTTTTTATTATAGTGATTATTTATTTTTTATATTATGTTTATTTAACAATCAATCTTGCCCCAACCATTTCCACATATACCTTCTTCAGGAGCATCTCCTTTTTGTATGTCTGCAACAAAGATTAAATTTATAGCAAAATCAAGTGATTCACTATATATTAGCTAAGTCAAACTCCAAAATTGAGTTCATAGAAGACGTATAGAAAAGTATCGCTAGCAAAAGTCTTAAATATTCATGAATCTTTTTGTTTATTGCAGAAAAAGTATTAACTCACTGCCTGCCCCTGCCTTTTGCTTTTCTGTGTGAATTAAGTCATTTTCCTCTGTGACAATGAAATGAGTTCTATCCTCTGGGGGTGGAAAGGAGAGAAGGAATTATGGGAGTTTATGTTATAATTGAGCAGGAATGTGATTGAAAGGGAAATTTTTCTAATTATATAAAAGTATAAGAATTTAATTAAGTCTTTAAAAGAAATTAAGATTGTAAGCGATGGGAAAGGATGGTTTTTATAAGTGGGTCCTATTATTTCTATCAGCTTCTGACGTCAGAAGAAAGATAGCTTCGGCATCTTTACAGACAATGCTCTGAGGCTGCCGCTGGGTCTAGAGGATGGCAGAAGGGAGGAGCCCAGAGCCCTAGCTCTGGTCTCAACCTTGCCACAAGCTGTGAGACCCTAGGCAAGTTCCGCTGCCTTTCTGGGCTCCGTTTACAATCTGTAAATCAAAGGTGAGGCAAAAGAAGGTTCTAGGTGAAAGCATGTTTGATTCCTGAGCTCTGTCACAGGTTAGTTGTGCATCTGGACAAATTCCCAAACCCCTCTCTGAGCCTCAGTTTTCTTACTCCAAAAAATGAGGATAATAATATCTGCCCTCAGGGTTGCTTCAGGATTAAGTGAGATAATAAATGGAAAGAAGGTGCCTGACACATAGTAAAATGCTCATTAAATGGAAGTTCTTTTTATAATGATGATGGCAAGATAGTCAATTTCTGGTATCTCATTTAGGTGGATTTCAAATGTATCTAACACCACAGTGAGGTTGATCATAAACGCTTCAAAATCAACCAGCATCCAGTCATATTCTCAGTTCTTGACAGACGTACTATACGTTTTTATCCTCTTGTATCTTTTATTTATATAACACTTCAGTTTGTAAAATGAATTCAGCCACATTTTCTTATTTGGTTTTTAAAACAATTCTGTGAGATAAACATTGCAAGAGATCTGAGGATCAAAGAGCTAAATGATATGGCCAAGATCACACTGATTTGGGAGCAGAGCCAGTATTAATGTCCAGGCTCCAGACTCCTCATCAAGTGCTCTCTCCACTTTAGCATTTCCGATCACCCACAATATCCCTAAAGCTATTTCCCCAATTACTGAAATACAGTTTATTTTGATCCATTTAATTTTTTTAAAAAACCATATGCTTAAGAAGAATGAGATGTCACAAAATCAATAAGCCACAACTTCAAAATGTATGGAAGTCCTAAATTATAAACCAAAAGAAAAATTATAAACCAAAGAAAAAAAGCTAATTTTACGCTCCTCATTCAGAATTAAACAGCTCCCTGGAGTTTGTTTCCAAAATACATTTAGATACATTAGCCTGGTCAGGCTGACACAATAGCTTTTCACTTCCTAATGAGGTAAAGGTCAAGCTTTCATTGACAATTAACGCATTACAGTCAAACCTTCCTTTTTGTCATTTCACTTGTTATACATTATATGCCTCTCAATACCAGATTTTCTTTCTAACCAATGCCAAAAACCACCCTCCAGTTTAACACAAATAGCCCCAGCCACCCACCCCCGCCCACATTCTTCATAAGGAAGGACCAACTGAGAAAGAATGAGTCTGATAGGAGTGAGAATCAGGACATGGGGAAAAGGGAATCTAGTGAGGCACGGTCTTGTGAAGATGTATTTCCTCATCTGCTCGCTTTTGGCCTAATTTCTTTAATTAAGCATAGAGGGTCTGTATTATTTGACTGGTAACTATTACAAAGGGATGGTCAGAATTCTAAGAGTAAAACTCTATCTTATAGTGCTTTGCTCTGATCAGATTTAACATTTCATGTAACAAATTACATATTCCATTGGTCATTTTGACCAATATCGAGAGGTAAGGGTTAATGCATCCAAGACTGATCCCCAGCAGGCTGGCCTCCCAGAGAAGGAGCCAGCCTCCAGCAGAGCACGCCATGGAAACTGGCTACAGCCAAGTACCTAACACAATTCAGGGAGAGTGTGCTGAGCTGGTGCATATGGACAAGAAGCCAACAGTCCACAAACTTATACAGCTGCTACTGCAAGGTCGGATCCTAGCCCCAGATCACACTAGGGGAAGAACTGATACCTCCCAAATCATGATGCTAAGGTGGCAGAACAGGGTTGGAGGCCAAGGTCATGACAGGGGAGGGGCAGGTATTTCTCAAAATAAGCATCTTATAAGTTCCTTAGCTGAGGTGCCCAGGCGCCTCTCCTGGAGTCTCACATCTGACCCTGCCAGATCCCTGTGTGCCACCCCACCCTGCAATGGACCACAAAGGAGCCAACACCTGCTATGGCTCCTGTCTTGATGAGTTTCCCCACTAAATGCTGCACCAGAATGCCCAGTGTGGCGCTGTCCGCATGCACCTTGTATGTACATGTACCACACTGAACCTCTTCTAAGCACTAACCTTGTCTCATCTCATTTACCCCTCACAAGCATCCTAGGAAGCAGATAGGCACTATTATCATCACTGTCCATTTTAGATAAGAAAACTGAAGCAGAGAGAGATTCAATCATCTGGATTAAGGTCACATACATCATAACTTATTTGAATTCAGGCAGTCCGACCCCAGAGTCGACCCCTTAGCCTCTCTTCTGTACCCTCTCAGAATCTCTCAAAATACTCACATCCGTTTCTGAAATTTTGGAGGCCTGTTCTTTTATTCGTTGATGCCACCATTTCTCGACATCCTTTCTTGTCTGCAACGTATACTCTTTTGTCCACTTCCCCGTGGCACTGTAAATACCTCTGGTACATCCTAGAATCACTCTCTTTCCCCACTTGATGACATCTGGCCCACCATTTAGCTGCCTTTTCAGAAGACAGGCATAAAAACCCAGCCTCTGCCAAGTAGAAGCCATTCTTCAGAAGGTGGGAAGACCCTGAAAAAGAAGGCAGAAAGCACACTTGTGAGCCGCCAGAACCCTCTCTGGAGCCTGTCCCTCCATTCAGCACAGCCCAGTGTTCCCTGCCCACGTACATGCTTTCCTCTTATTCCTGTCATGATTTCCTTCCCTAGAATTTCAGTGGAGTGAAACACAACTTTCTAATGGAAACTAAACAGGTGGTCAGTGCCCTCAAACACCAAAGATACAAAAACCCCATAGGAACAAATGGAGACCACCACCTGGGCCAGCTCCTGCCACAAGCTCACAGGTTGCACAGCGGGCAGTGGAGCCCCCTCCTTCCCCTTTAGGCCAGCCCAGGGCCTGTCCAGCAGGGTTCACTTCCCATCGTCCAGGCTTCAGAAGAGCTCCAGCACATCTTGGCTTGGCCTCTGCCTCAAATATCAGAAGAGATCTGAACACAGGCCTCCCAGGAGGACCAGAGACTCTGAGCTATTTTTAGCATTTTTCATACACATTATGAGTGAAATACACTCAGTAGGCTGAGCCAGGAAATAACTATTATTTAGAAGACTGTTTATTCATTTTGTTCTTCATTCATTCATCAAATATTTATTGAGTGCCACTAGGTCCAACACTGTTCTAGGCTGTGGGGATATAGCAGCGATCAGAAACAAAGTCCCTTCTTTCATGGCACTTACATACTAGGAGAGAAAAGCAGATAAGAAACAAACAAATGAACATACAATATGTGTAATAGCAGTGAGTGCTATGGTTTTTTGGAATACAACTCATAGGTTGGGGCCCACCAGGACATCCAGCTAGCTGCAAGTTAAAATTCAACTTGAATGTTTCATTGGTTTCCTCCAAAGGTGAATTCCAGAAATGACCTCATGGAAGAAGTTTCATGTTTTATCACTGTTTAAAAGGTTGAGGAGACAGTTCATCAAATATTTAGGATTTATGACTAAATAGCCTAAACTTTCTGTCTTCCTGCATAACAGCTGTCAAGAAATGCTACAGTGAAGGAACAGATGAAAATAGATCTTTCAAAACCAAGAGAGAAATAAAGGAAGAACCTGGCACTCTAAGCTGATGTTAATTCTTTGATTCCCTCAAAATTTTTCCCTATCTACTAGGGTTTGGCCTGTGTCACAAAGGTACTGGGTCACGAATGTTGCTAAGAGGGTTCATTACAGGCTTATACAAGTGGGTCTGACACTCACATAAAATGGCATCACAGTGCTGGCATTTTATAAGTTGGTCTGCCAAAGTCCTTGACATACCAATTCTCACTGTATTTAACACCTCTTGCTTCTTTAAAGGTGGAATCAGAAACAGACTGAAAAAAAACCTCCCTATCCCTTGGGCTTGGCTATTTTAAAGTGTGTAGATGTCACTATAGATATTAGGGTGAACTGTATGAAATTGGTTGAATATCAGCAATTCCATATGACCAACCTAATATACAGACACTCTGTTAATTAAGGCAATTGCACTTATCATTTTTGTGTCTGTGTGAGGAAGACTGGCCCTAAGCTAACACCTGTGCCAATCCTCCTCCACCTTGTATGTGGGACGCCGCCACGGCACGGCTCAACGAGCAGTGCGTAGATCCACGCCCGGGATCCGAACCTGTGAACCCTAGGCCGCTGAAGCGGAGTGCACGATTTTAACCATTACGCCACCGGGCCAGCCCCAGTTCCACTTATTTTTAGGGGTTGAGTTTCTACATAATTAGAACTATCCACAGGAGTCATGGATTTTATGGTTCTCTTGCTAAGTCAGCATTTCTATATCTTTGCAAGCCAAAGAATGCCAGTTTAGCAGAGGGCACACAGATAGATGCCTGCCATTTCTCTCCTAGATTGCATTCCCTAAGAACACATAATGACTGTCCTCTTGAGTAGAAACAATGGAAAACAATAAAATTATAAAAACACAAACTGACCTGAACTGTAGTCCCACTAATTTTTGGTTTCAATGCTGGTGAACCATTGTGACAAAGGAAATACCAAAGAGTGCAGACAGATCACCAATATGAGCAATATGAAACCAGGTCATTCTTTCACTGAAAATTCAAATCCTGTCTCTATAACTTTCTTATACTATATACCAAATCATAAACAACACATAACAAGAATCCCTGTCTACACAACAGGAATAAGCTTTCTAAAAATGTCTACATAATACCTGGCTCACTAATAACCTTTTCTTTACATAAAACAATAGTATACACTAGACAATCCTGAAACAGATCTGAGTATTTAAAAGAACTTAAAGTTCATAAAGAAAAAAGCCCAAGTAGATTAGAAAGTGATAGATTATTCAATGAATGAGGGAAAAATTCAAATTAGAGCCCCACTTCAAAGCATAAACCAGAGTAAATTCCATATAGATTAAAGAATTTTTTTAAAATACCATAAAACTAGATAAAAATATAGATAAGTATTTAATAATTCTTTCCAAGGTGGAGGATGCTCTGTCCTGAGCATAAAAGCAATGGAAGAATTCATAAAGGAATTCTTTATGAGAATGAGAATTAATCTCTTTATGAGAGAGATTAATAAATCTCTCTAAAAATGTAAAATATCTGTATATCAAAAACACTATGAACAAAATTAGAAAGCAAACATACTGAGAGAAAATTACCAAAACTGCAACAAAAGGTTATCCTACTGTTGACATAAATAATTCGTAATCAATCTATAAATCAAAATCGGGGTGAGTTTATTATGAGCCAACTTTCGAGGAACATAGCCTGGGGCCTTCCTTCTGTAAGGAAGGAAAGGCACCAAAGAAGTGGGGTGTACAGAGCCGTTATATACCATCAAAGAGCATGTATCACATACGATGGCAATGTCCCTTTTACAATAGCCACAAGATTGCCCTGCCAGAATAGCTATTGATGGACACAGCAGGGAGCAGGTCTGCTATCTTGATGGGTGTGGCTGGTGTCAGGTCTGTTGTCTCGAGCTGGGCGGTCACAGGATGAGTGCAGCAATCAAATCCTAGCCTAGGCAGAAATTGCTTGTCCTTAAGGAAATGCCAGTGTGGGGGAAGTTGCATCCTTATCTTAAGGGCATTTACTCTTCTCTTTGGGACATGGTAAAGCAGATACACAATGCATGTTTAAAGGCGATAGCCCCTTTTGGAAAAACAAACTCAGGCTGAATTAGTTTTACCCCAAATGGCTTCCTCATATGCTCCAATATATCCTATTGCTTGCCATTTATTTATCACTACTGTTTTATAAAGAGCTCTCATGAGATGAGAAACATTAAAAACCTAATTTTAAAAATGGGCAATGGGGAAGAGGAAATACAAATGGCTAATAAATATATAAGAAAGATCAACTTTACAACTAATCAAAGAAATGCAAACTAAAACAACAATAAGATAGTCTGCTTATCAGATTAGCAAAAACCTGTTCAATGAAAAGAAATGTGCATTTTCTACACTGCTGGTGGGAATGTAAATTGATTCCATCTCTCTGGAGAGTAATCTGGTAATATTTGTCAAGACTCTGTAAGAAAAGTTCATACCCTTTGTGTTAGGGGGTCCCCAAGACTCAGCATATAGTGTACTCAGGGCTATGATTTATTACAGAACATCCTGATGTTCCCTTTTTTTACTTCCCAGGCCCTGCTCTCACCACTCCACCACCAAAGCCCTGATGGGCACTGCCTTTTCCTGACAACAAGAAGCAGCCATGTTATTAGAGGACTATGACCATAAGATTAATGTGAAAGATTTGGCTCTTGTCTTGTATTTAAGATCAATTTGGCCCTTTTCTCCCTAGCGCTGTATCATCCAGTTCCTTGCCTAGATGTTTGGAATCTCATCTCTTCTTCCACATCCTTCCAAGGCATCAATCCCCACTGCTCCACTCCTCTTGAGAGCCAGCCCTGACCTCAACCTCACTTAGAGCTTAAAGTTAAGTTTTTTGAGAATAGTGGGGGTAGTGGCATGTGACCATAGAGGGAGGGGCCTGAGAACTGGACCCAAAATGACAATCATATATAGACAGAGAAACCTAGAAAAAGAGTAGGAAAAGACAGACAAAGAAATAGAACATATAGGAGAAGCAAATGAGGGCATTTGTGTGCGTCTAAAAGAAAAGTGTGCGAGAATGTGGGAAAATCAATTTTAAAGAAACCAAGCTTTGTGACAAAAATATACAGATCTTGACTTTTGCAACTACTAATTTCCTGTGTGACCTGAGGCAAATTATTTCCTATCTGGAGCCTCGGCTTCTCCTTAAGATGAGGGGGTAAACCCAGATGATCTCTGAGGCCCTTCGAGCCCTAACATGCTGTGGCAATGACCTGCGGGCCAGAGATGCACCAGACGGACTTTAACTGAGTCCAAACCCCAGCCCAGGGAGCAAAGATCCAGGGACAAACTGGGGTAGGGGAGCGGAGGCGGGGGGAACTTGAGTACAAAACTATATGTACATGAGCGTTTTTCCGGGAAAGGGTCTAGGGCTATCCACGGGGTCGGTGGCTCAAAGAGTCAAGACCCGAATCTCGGAGACTTTTCCAGTTCAGAAATTGCACGGCTCCGGGACCACATAACCCAGCCCGCACCTTCCCTTCCTGCACCCAGCAAGTTGGAACCTCCAGATCCAGGGAGAGAGGAGGTCGGGCCTCGTTTCTCGTCCCGATGAGCCCGGGTCAGGGGTTTACCTGCTCACAGGCTCGGTTCTCACGTTAGGCGAACACGGCCCCGCCAGTCAGCATGGGCGCCGCCATGTTGGCAGAACAACAACTTTATTGATAGCGGCCGCCGCAGACACAGACAGACAGGGGCGGAACCCGGGGAGGCGGAGCGCGGCCAGGTCCCGGACTCCCGGCAGCCCGTGGGGCGGGGGCGTCTGCGTGGCGGCCCTTGACTCAGCCCCAAGTCCTGTCGGTGGGCCCAGTCGTCTACGCCGCTGTTGGCGTCACCAAGACCATGGACACCTGGGGGGTCAAATGCTTACAGTTGCAGCAGATGTGTGCCAGCCATCAGTTTAGTAGCCCCAGAATAAACTGGGTGGCAAGTGGCGTAAAGAGCACTGAAGGAGTGCTGAGGCTAGGGTTCGGATACCAACGTAGCTGGGCTTGGGCGGGTCCCTCAACCTCTTGGTCCTTAATGGACCACATGATAGTTAAGGCATCTTCTTCCACCATATTCCATGATCTTCTAGCCCTGGGAAGGGAGTCACCTGGCCAAGATTGGAGGTCAAGTGTCCTTTCCACACATGATAACGTGGGTTGGGCGTCAGGAAAGGAGGATGCCTGACCACCCACTTTCCTAGAGAGTTTATGTATCCCACCCTGTAACCTCCCTCACCCTCGCAAGTGTTTCTTGTTATAAATAAATCAATGAATCAATGAATGAATTGCAAAGGACCAGTGGGGTTAACGTATAATTTTCAAAAAGGTAAAACCTGTTTACAGGAGAGTTTGAAAAACACATCTGTGTGGGCAACCAGAAATGCTGAAACGAATTTGCTAATTGTGCAAAACTGGTTGATATCCTACAGGACAAAAAAAAGTAATGTTTGAAAGCCATCTTTTTCTAGGGAGCTGAAATCAATTGTACCTTCATCAAACAAAATTCATCCCATTACTATCTATATTCTTCTGCATCTTAACTTCTACTCTTACAGAGCTGACAACAGAAGACGAGCAAAGGTGGGCACCCCTATAGCACCGGATAATCCCCAGGCCAGCACTCCACCGGAGAGACACGCAGTCATCTCTTTTGCCAATTTCCAAGTCTTTAACAAAGTTCTCTGACAATTCAAAGTCCAAATACTTTGTTACTCAAAGTGTGGTCTCCAGACCAGCCATCAGCCTCACCTGGAAACTTGCTAGAAACGTAGAATCTCAGGCCTCAGCCCAGACCTGCTGAATCAGACTCTGCATTTTAACAAGATCCCCTGGGGATTCTTAGGCACATTGAAGTTTGAGACTCACTGTCTTAGAATGTGAGAATTAGAAAGGATCTTGAGAACACTCTAGTCCAGCCTGCTCATTTTACAGATGAATAAACTGAGGCCCAGTGGAGCTGACAGTCTAGCTCAAGGTCATAGCAAGTTAGTAAAGAGTTTGGTATTCAAAACTGAGTCTCTACCCTGCTGGAATAATAGTACCCTTCCCAAGTTGCTGAATGGAAGATCATTAGGAGCTTAGACAACTTCTAGTCCAATCCTCTCCCTTCAAAGATGAGGATACTGAGGCCCAGAGACTGGAGGCAGCTTGCCTAAATTCACACAGCTACTTGATGGCAAAGCCGGGATTCCAGTCCAGATCTCCTGAGCTCTCCACCTCTGAAACCAGATGCTTAATTTAAACTGATACCATGGAAGCATTGACTCGCACATGAACATGCCACACAAAGTAATTTAACCTTCAGGTCTGTCATGCTGCATTCACATATAATGTGAGTGCCCTTTCTCTAATTTACCCAAAATACTAAATTCTAGGTAGCCTTTACCCTTATTTTGGTTCAAACTCTCTCTTTCCTCTTATGAATTAAAGTTAACATTGACATTTCTAGGAGATTATTTCAACTAGAATTTTTCTAAAAGTCATTTGCTTTACTGGAAAGTCACTATTTTTACATCAAAGAAGACAGTAGCATGAAAGTAAATCCTTTTCACTCTTAAAGAGCTTGCTGCAAAGATACATTATTAAAAGAGACAAGTTACTGGGCTGTGTAGAAAGTTATCCTATTTTTGATTTTTTAAAAAGGAAAGGAAATAAAAGAAATACATTTGTTAGTATATGCGTGCAAAGAAATCTGGAAAAATACATCCCAAACTATTTCCTGTAATGATCTCTAAGGATAATGGGGTTCTATGGGTCTTTCTCTTCCTGATAGGTTTCTGTGTTCCTTTTCTATTAGCTTGTGTGGTAGGCTGAATAATGGCCCTTAGAGATATCTAGGTCCTAATCCCTGGAACCTGTGAATGTCTCCTTATATGGCAAAAGAGACTTTGCAGTTGTGATTAAATTAAGAATCTTGAGATGAAAAGATTATCCTGGATTATCCTGGTGGGTCCTATATGCAATCACAAGTGTCCTTGTAGGAGAGAGGCAGAGGGAAATTGGAGAGGAAGAAGAGGCTATGTGACCACTGAAACAAGATGCTGCCCTGCTGGCTTAGAAGATGGAATGCAAGGAGTGCAACTCTGGAAGATGACAAAAACAAGGACATAGATGCTCCCACATGATCCAGCAATTCCATTTCTGGGCATATACCCCAAAAGAATTGAAAGCAAGGTCTTAAGGAGACCCTTCTATACCCATGTTTAGACAGGCGTATTCACAGTAGCCAAAAGGTGGAAGCAACCCAAGTGTCCATTAAGGGATGAATGGGTAAACAAAATGTAGAATATATATACAATGGAATATTATTCAGCCTTAAAAAGGAAGGAAGTTCTGATACATGCTCCAACATGGACCTTGAAGACATTACGCTCAGTGTAATAACCCAGTCACAAAAGGACAAGTATTATATGATTCGTCTTGTATGAAGTACCTAGAGTAGCCAAATTCATAGAGACAGAAAGTAGAATGGTGTTTGCCAGCTGCTGGATGTAGGGAAATGGAGAGTTATTGTTTATGGGTACAAAATTTCAGTCTGGGAAGATGAAAAAGTCCTGGAGAGGGATAGTGGTGATGGTTGCACAACAATGTGAACGTACTTAAGACCCCTGAACTGTACACTTAAAAATGGTTAAAATGATAAATTTTATGAATATTTTACCACAATAATAAAAGAAAGAAGGGGCCGGCCCTGTGGCGTGGTGGTTAATCTCGCATGATCCGCTTCGGCGGCCCAGGGTTCACAGGTTCGAATCCCAGGTGCAGACCGAGGCACCGTTGATCAAGCCATGCTGTGGTGGCACCCCACATACAAAATAGGGGAAGATTGGCACAGATGTTAGCTCAGGGACAATATTTTTCACAAAAAAAAAAAAAAAGAAAGCAAACAGACCCTCTCCTAGAACCTCTAGACAAAGTGCATCCCTGTTGACACCTTTTGGCCCAGTGAAACTGATTTTGGATTTCTGACACCAAGAACTATAAGAGAATAAGTGTGTATTGTTTTAAGCCACCAAGTTTGTGGTAATTTGTTACAGCAGCCCTAGGAAACTAATTCATCTTCTATGACTTTGTATGTAGAAAAAGACCAAGAAGGTTTTTTGTTAAATAGATTGCATGCCCATCACCGTTTGTTTCATTTTATGCATTATATGGTGTTGTATGTTATTAAATTTCTAATGTATGGATCTTCAGAAATATTCCTTACATGGCACCTTCTCATCAAAGGAGCCTCACTCTCCTGAGTCACACTCAAATATTATTTGTCCCCTTTGGCCAGGACTCCGCTTGAAGAGCAGGTCAGGGTCAAACAATGCAAGAGACAAACAGTCCTCACAGAGAAAGAGAGCCTTCCTTCACACTTGAACAAGTGTTGATAATAACCATAAGCGTGGGCATCCTTGTCTTATGCCATTGGTCCCTCACTTGAATGGAGTTGTTTCTAATGTTCTACATTTAAGTATGATGCTTGCTCTAAATTTTTGGGTAAATAATCTTTGTGATATCCCACCTCCAAGGTGGCATTCAATAGCCCCAATTTCTGGTATTCACCCCTTTGTGTAAGTCCCCTCCCATGCTGTCCCAGGGTTGGTTACTATGCCCAACAGAATACAGTAGAAGTAATGATATGTGACTTTCTACAGTAGGTTATAGAAGATATTGCAGCTCCCATCTTGGTTTCTCTGTGTGTCTGTGTATCTGTGTGTGTGTGTGTGTGTGTGTGTGTGTGTGTGTTGCATCACTCAGGAAGAGGGAAGCTGTGCCAAGAGCAAGCCTATGGAGAGGGCTACATGGTAAGAAACAAAAGTCATCTGCCAACAGTCAAGTCAACGGGCTTAGAAACAGTTCCTCCAGTCCAGCCAAGTCCTCAAAGACTGCAGCCCCAGCCAAGAGCTGAACTGAAACCTCATGAGAGACTCTGAGGCGGAAACCCCGGCTAAGTCACTCTCAGAAGCTGTGTGAGATAGTAGTTGTTTACAGTTTTAAGTTGCTATGTTTCGGAATATTTTTTTCTCAGCAACAGATAACGAATACACTTTTTATCACATTCAGAGGCTTCCTTCCATTATCTGGTCTAGGATCCAGTCCAGGGTACACAGTGCATTAAGGTATCATTCTCCTTGGTCTCTTCCAATCTGGGACAGCTCCTCTATCTTTATCTGCCTTTCACGACCTTGATGCTTCTGAAGAGTACTGGTCAGGTACTTTGTAGAATGTCCCTCCTGATTTAATTCAGGGTTTGTGCTTTTTGGCAGGAATACCACAGAAGTGAAGGTTGAGCCCTTCTTGGTGCATTTTTTTAAGGTAATAGGAAATGCACAAACATGTTTGTAAGGGGATGGAGATGATCAAGTCGAAGGAGAAATCAACAATGTAGGAAATGGAAGGAATAACTGTGGGAGAGGAGTCTCTGAAAAGGTGAGAGGGGTCACATTTTACTCTCTGTATTAAAGAGGTCACATTTTACTCTCTGTATTAAAACACTGATGTTTACTACAACACTCATGTATTAATTTTGTGATTAAAAGAATGAAAAATACCATTTTTTTAAAACTCTAGGCTCAATCCTGTTTCAGAAATTACACTGCCCCTTTTTTCCATATC